AACGACGATGATAATAACGATATTATTATTACTGTTTACTGAATATAATTGTCTTCATATTTAGTCACTTATAGAAACAATTAATATCGTTATCTTAAACATTTATCTACTGCAAATATCGAATATTATTACGATCACTAGCATTGAACAAAATATTCGTAAAATATCGTTTTGTTTTCTCTTTCTATACGCGTAATTTTCAAGCTCATTTCGCTTTCACAGTTTTTAATTTTTAATGGCTTATTTACGTAAAACGCTGTATTATTAGTGGTATTGAATTATAGCTTCTACGTGCTTAAATGTTGAAATAGGGTATTATGAAGACTTGTAGTGTTTTAATTTTAAGTAATAATTTTCCAATCGTTTGTTTAGAAAGAAATTATAAAATGTAAAAAAAAATAATTAAAAAGGAAGCCCATTGCTTAAAATTACAATAAACTATAATAGTAAAATAATGGTATATTTTAGTAAAACGAAATTACGAACATTTATAACATTTATATTACAAACTAATTGAAAAATAATACAACAAAAGTTTGATCAAAATGTATTAGACACAGATATACATAATCTTATCATAATTGTTATGAAGATAAACAATAGATTTTGTTAAACAAAAAAGCTAAAGTTATTATAATATGTCCATTTAAAAATTAAAAATAAATAATATACAATAATTATTAAAAGGTCTGTACTCCCTTACTCAAATATACAACAAATAAATAAAAAATAAATACAAATTTGAAGACTAGGTATAAATTAGGTACCTACCTGTGTTTTATTATGATAATATAATGTTAAGCGACCAAATAATAAATATATATTAAATTTGGAAATTTAATTAAAACTGTACTGCAGTTGTGCGAGGTCTGCATTATAATATTCATTTATAATAAAATACAAAAATGTTCAGTTGAAAAATCAGTTAAGTATATATCTACTTAAAACGAACTGATTTAGTCAAAATTCAAAATTGTATTTGTAAAAATACCAGGAAAAGTTATTGTGAGTACCGTTTAATATTGTTTAAACCTAATTTGTTCAGTGTGAGGTGAAGTGAGCTGCACGCCTGCACACTCGCTAATCGAATTAAATGGTGTACACACAATAAAAAAAGGATTGTTGAAGTATTGAAATCACGAAAATGCCATCGTAAATAGTGTGAGATAACATAGTGATAGACCAGCGTGGTTGTGTCACAGTTAATTCTTCTAAACAATTCAGAATTAAAAATGTACCTATACATATGTGTATAAGTGTTGTAACTATGTTTCTGTAACTTGTAAACAATTAACAGCAAGTGAGTTTATTTTTTGATCATCATAATCAAAGTGATCTATTTTAAGATTAGACGTTAAAAGTGTAAAACGTTTAAGCTATAGCAGTATTGTAAATTAAGACGCAAACACAGTGCTCAGTTTTTGAACAAAATAAATCAAGATGAAAAAGCAAACGTAGTTACTGATAAACCAAAAAAATAATTAGGTAAATTATGTTTCAGGATAAAATACCTATTAAATACAAATATTGATATAATTTATTAATATCATTATCGTCTGTAAACATACTTTAAAATAAAACATTAAATATAACGGCAATTTTAGTTTTCGTAATTTTATATCATGGATAACAATATTATATATTGTGTATTTTTTTTTTTTTTAGAAAAATATCCGTTTTCAAAATTTGAAATCGTGAATATTTTTAATAATTTTGAAATAGTAAAGAAACCTAAAAAAAAAAAAACAGTAAAAAGAAGAAAAAATTATGAACGAGTAGATTTTTTTTTTGCTCAAACGTAGTGTTAATACTGTTATACATATAATTTCACTTTAAATTAAATGAAAACATTTTTTTTTTTTTTTTTGGAAAACACCGCGTCTCGTATTAAAAAAAACCACCCCAACCCCATTCCGAGCAACGTCGCCGGTGGAAATGTGCAGCACTAGAAAGTTGTCGAACTCGCTGGTTGTATAATATTATACGCGCTGGTCGACGACGACGACGACGACGATGCCCCGTCCGTCCACGCACCTTAAAGATTTTCCGCTCTTACTGTTATACGGACAAACTTCTTTTATACATATTATATAAATAGCTTCACCCCCTCACACCAGCCGTACAGGTTTTTCCGCTCATTCGCAACGTATGCGGCGAAAACTATTACCGAACAAACGCAATTATCATTAAGCCCAGACTCTTGCGCTCTCGCATACACAATGCCACCGCGTCCGCCCCTGCTGTAATACAACTATACTTCTACTGCTATAGAGCTACCTTATACTTGGTATATAGTCTACATTTAGTAGTACCGCTAGTGAGTATATACTGTGCTAAGACTTACCAGCGACTGTAATGGAGTCGTGCTGTAGGCCCGCCTATATGTATACATATTATAATAATATAGTACGCGCTTTTCCACCACCTAACCGACAGATTCGGACATCGTTATATACCGACAATGTACTCCGCTCGTGGGTTGGATAGGTACCTTTTTCCTCCCCCGTCGACTTTTTTTTTGTTTTTCTGCGGGCTTTCGTCTGATTAAAAAGTCATCAGCATGACCGCGCCGAGTCCGATTTCTATAGTAATAATTGTTACCCTTGTCTATTGTTTTATCAACACTATAATATGCGTACCTACCTATATTGGTCCCCGGTGCGTCTATTGTTGTAGAGGTTTTTCGTATTTTCTTCTGACGATTTGATGTCATTATCTCAAACAAGACTATATTTTATTTTTGTACGTTTCGTTTTAATTTTGATTTTAATACATCACACCTTTTCAGATAAATTATCTAGTAAATAATTTACAGTAGAAAGGGAAGTTCTCATTTTTAAAACACAAGTTTGTATATCACCACAGAACATTGTTTAAATAGTACAAGAAATCACAATAGCTTGGAAATATGGTATTTTAGTATATTTAAAAATTCCATTTATGGGAAAAATAGGGGGTGAGCATGCTTGGTATTATACTCGTTTGTATAATATGCGTATAAGATATAACCTACTCAATTAACTTAATTTTTTAATTATTCCTTTATAAATACGTAAGCCTTTGTTTTGTAGCACCAATAACTCCACCAGCTATGTTAATATGTTTTTAGCGTATAGAACCAAAAACTAAAACACGAGGTAAGTACTTGTATTCCCCATATAAAACGTTCATACAAATAAAATGAGAAGAAGCACAAAATCGGATACCAATAACTATGTGTGTGATAATAGACATGTAATATTTTAGAGATTGTTTATTTTAACCATACGAGTATATTATTAGTCTTAGACTATAATTAATGAAATCAGAAATTAATCACTACTACCTAGGTACTTACTATTATATTATAATTTAAAATACATGTTTCAGTTCGTATTTGTGTTCACTCTATATTGCAAATTGTACATAATATATAATAATTATATTATTCAACTTCAACATATTTTGTATTATTTATTCCTGACAATTTATTACATGAAAAAAAAATATACATCGATGAATAAGTATTCAATCTAAATTCAATAAAGTCATTAGTAAATGATCATGGCCTTTTAAGCTTTTAGTAGGTTGTGGGTACATAATATATACGTATTACATATATCTTGTAAAAATTACAGAAAACATTTTAATCTCAATAACTAGCATAATCAACGTCATAATCAACTGTAGGTATAACGTATAAATAAATTTAATGTTGATAATCATGTTTCTCTGCATTAATAACCGGAAAGTAACAAAATAAAATTATAAAAATACTATTTTGTACATATTTATTGTTTATGCATATTTAAACATGTCTGATATTCAAACTGAGTTTACCACACTTTTATATTTATTAATGTATACTCCATCATACCCGAGTAATATATATTTATTTTAATAAACATTAAGAATTTTTAATCACATATTTTATGTTTCATGTATATTACGTTTATGCTGCAACTAGGTCTGCGTCGTAATTATTACCATAACGAATCACAAAGGGGTTCATTTATGAAATATTCACTTTGTAAATTATGTATTTCGATGTACTGTTTTTGAAAAATCAAGATTAGGTACTGTTGTCATACAATTTAGTTTTTCACTTCCCATAGCCAAAAGTCGGACGTGCTTTACTATTTGCGCATTACCATATAACTATATAATTGTACTATGTGTATTGTATGTACTACTAATATATTTGTTTTGGGTATAAATAATATAATATACCAACTATAATGTGTATAGCGAACACCTTGTGCATTTTTCTGTCTGCGAGATTTAAATTAAACTCTCTCAGCGCAAATTACGCTCTATATAGTATAATATTACTCAAATTTGTAATACTATATTCTAATATGTAATCTCAAGATACTCGAACAGTTCAGTCCTGCTCTTGGCGCTTTGTTTTTAATTTTCTGTCGACGTTTTTACTGCAGTGACGGAATAACCGAGTTACACATTTTCGAGTGCACTTCAATTTCAATCAATAACTCGACTACATATACAATATACATAGGTACTTTAGTGGGGTGTCATAATCATTTCTTCTGTCTTAATGATATGTGTGTATGTGTATTTAATATGATTAAATTCGTGACTGACCCCACGCCGAGAACTAAACATGACAGTACCGATATAACATACTATACGAAACAATAAACTATAATAAATATAAGACAACACAGCTGAATATAGAAATATAGCTATATTTATGTACATGTCCTGCGATGAAAACCAAAAATAGAGAAACAGCTGTATTATATAGCGTTGTGGGGCGTCGGACCATAACCGCGAAAAGACACCTCTGCCGCTAAACAATAAGAATAACTCGAAAATACAAAAGAAACTTCACTGGACTAAAACAGTGGAATATCGTTGGTGGGTGCTCACAGCGTAGCGTGTGTATAATACATATATATATATATATATAGGTATAATATGTGTGTATAGTGACACGTCTGATGGGCGGGGCTTGGAGAGAGTATTTTAACTAGCTGCTTAGAACGTGTATGTATATATTATAGGCACCGAATAGGATGAAGAGCTGGGATCAAGAGGGTCGGTATGTTGGCGGGGTGGGGTTGGTCTGTATGTACATAAAGTGATATAAAAGAGTTGTAAAAGGAAGCTTTTGGGGAGGCGGCAGCGGCCACAGCAGTAACCGGGAAACGTTGAATAATGTATCTGTCAGAGGACGATGGTAAACAATACGTTATTGTGCGCGCCACACCACATATTCGCCCACATAAAAGACGAGTCGGGTCATTTTTCCTCTTTTTTTTTTTCATCTTCTCCTCCAGCCGTTCTTCTCCTATTTTCATTTTTATTGTTTGTCATTAGTATCTGCATTTGTATTATTATTATTATTATTATTATTTTATATATCTGTTTGTGTACGTTTGTGCGTGTGCGACTATAACGCCTGCATGTGTTATTGTTATTATCGTACACGGAACTATCAGCCCGAGACGAGGGGTCCTATATACTTGTCATGTCAACAATAAAACTACATGGTAAATATAATAATAATCGTATAAAATATAGAATTTGAGAACATAATACTCGTTCGTAATATATTATGTATACTATATTTTGTGAAATTGTACTTTTGATAAATTTTCGTAGCGGGGTGTTTATGGTAATTAGAGGTGTTCAAACAAAAAAAAAAAAAAAATGAGAGAAGAAGAACCCGAGTGAACTCTATTGTTTGATCCTCTTCAGTTCTATTCCTCTAAAATATATGTATATACAATATACATATAAATCGTTGTTTCATTTCGTTTTTCATCGTTTCACCAACGCGAGTTTATTCTTTTTGTGTTTTCTGTCAATACAGCGTTGGTGGATTATTAAATTTTTAATAACCAGATGCATGAGTAAAAATAAATGAACAAAAATCATACATCAAAATGACTTTTTAGACTTATTAAAGTAATTGGAAATCTTTAGCGGTAGACTGAAGTCCACTATTCCTAACGGTGCAGTGATTGTTGAACTTCATTGTTTTTGAGAAAATATGTGCCACTGTATGTGTTAAATTACAAGCAACATTGCCATTACTCTTTCGCATTAGTAATTATAATGATTACATTAATTTCAGACAAATATATACTTAAGAATTATTGATTTGAGTAATGATAATATTAATTAAAATTCTTAGTGACGAATCATTCCATGTGAACATATGAAGTATCTGACAGATAAAAATTAAAATAACTAAAAAAATGTATGATCAAATGAATTGGACAATTTTCAATATTTTTTTAGCCTTTATAGTCTCAATTCATAATTAAATTCACTGTTTTACCAATATTTAATATACGTTTATAAATGTTGTCATTTTTAAAAATCATAACAGATTATCTGTCAAAAAAAATACAAATCAATATTTAATAATAAATTTATCATCTAAAAATACCCACTGTAATTTATTTGAACAATAAACCTAAATTATACATAAAAACTTAACTATAAAAAAATGTCATATTCAATGTATACACAATAATACATTATGCCATGGGATTATAAATTTACAAACATATTTAGGACGTCATTACTTTATTACCTACAACATTACTACGATAGACAAATTTCGCTATTATTAAGAATAAACTGAAAAAACATACCTTGTACAAGTGTCAAGTATGGATGATTTTAAAATTAATTTTTAATTTTACAATATTATTGTACTTGTTACAAACAATTTTGAAACCTTAATAAACTACAATTTCAATAAAAATTATTATTTACTATTTTAACTATAATTTTGAGGGTCTCATATATTTCTTAGCTGTTTTTTCACTTGTCTGGGTGCATATTGCAAATACTTAATTACCAACCAATTTATACTATAAATATATCCTAACAAATGATTTTTAATTAACTGTTTCAAAGATAAATATAGTGTATCTTGAAAATAAGTAGAAAAAAAATATTTTTAATTGATTAGGGAATAAATATTTCTAAAAAATAAGCAATCAAATTTTAATTTTAGATCATAAATTGTATAAGGATTCGAAGAAAATACAGTAATTAGTTAATACGAGTTGTGTTTTCTCTGATTTTATTATACATTATGACATCTGGTAACTGATATGTTGATAGTTGATACATATTTTGTTATGATTGTATTTGAAATAAATAAATAAATAATAACATTTGGTAATGTATTATGCATTATTCTTTTAAAAAGTAATTCGATCATCTTTAGCCGGGTATAATGTGAGTAACCTATTTCCAGCTGAATTTCGAAAATAAAAACCATTATTGTAACGATTTTGCTGGTGGAGCGGAAAAAGAACTGCAGTTTTAAAACAATAACGAATTATGATGATGTTGACCGAGGATTTCACCGTCTCCAAATGGGTCGTGAGGTTAGGTTATCCATCAGTATATTCTCGAGTACGATTCCTTTGCGGTTGTTTATGATATAAATATATAATATGTGTATGTGTGTGTGTGTGTGTGTGTGTGTGTGTGTGTGTGTGTGTGTGTGTGTGTGTGTGTGTGTGTGTGTGTTTATCGAAGGGGAAATTATAGTGGGAGGGGTAGACGACAAATTTGTAATAGAGGGGAAGGTGGATATGAACGTGCGCGAAAACTATGATTGATGCACTCGGTCATGTGGTCACGTTCACATTGGGAAAATAAGGGGGGTGAAAAGTGGTGGCGAGATGACGGTAAAACTATAGGGTGCGCGGATGCTTTTGAAAACCAGCATGTTATTCATCACCACAAAAAAATATACAAACCATATACATCCACACACACCACACACACACACACACACACACACATTCGCCCCGAAATACAGATATATTACGAATTTTTCTACTGCCACACGCGTTCACGGAAATCCCTCAACCCGTTAGCCACCGTGTCACAGCCTTTTAGTCCGACCAAAGTGTCCATCATGGTAGCCGTCAAGGATTTTATATATATTTTATATATTGTGAGTGTGTGTGGGCTTGTTCCATTATAATTACTGACGGTCACCATCTGCGGCCCCTGTCCGGCGTGCCATGGCCCCGACGCTGACAGTCGTAATCATACTAAATGTGGGTGGATCAAAATTTTTCACCGAACACTTCACCTCAACCACGTGTGTTTGGCTATGAAGATATATATACTTAGAGGGTGCACAATTATTATAGATCTGTACACTGAAGCTACAGTTTTCTAACAACTTGAAGCCATTTGAACGCTCAGCCGGTAACGGTTTTGTTATTGTAACAGTTTATAACATCATATACAAAAAAAAAAAAATAAAATATAATGTATCTCACAGGAAGCTTGTAGATGCCACCAACGTTTAGTCACCAGAAATGTTGTAGGTACCATTTAACGTAGCACTATCGATTTATTTTCGCGTTTAATGTATATATTATACATATTATATCGTATATAGATACGATATATTTTGTGTTTGATGTTGGAGAAAAAACCCTGCAGATTGCTACTTTATTTACTGTAAGTAACGTATTATATTCTTGATTTTATTCCTTTGATAATAATCAACTCGTAAATATTTATTTTTGAATACAGTGTAAAAACAGTGTTCCGTAAGTACAGAAGAATTATTATTTTACTTTCTTGATTGTTTCGTTTGTTTTGTGTATTCTTTTCATTCAAACTTTTAACAGATTATAATTTGCAAACATTACTCTGGATTTATATGATAGTGTACCTACCTACATCAGGAACTATTAAAACAAAAAAGTAGAACGCTACTTGATATTTTTCTTCTACAAGGAAATTCTATGAATCATAAATATGTTTTCGTTAATAAGTACCTAGGTAAGCATATTATGACAACAAAAACCTTAAAAGTAATAAATAATATCTTACTCAAACTCGGTCAGAAAAACAAAAAACCTGTATCTGCTACTATCTAGCACAAAAACATATTTATGTTAAAAATGTCTAAAATATCAGAATAGAAGTTTTGAAGATATAATAATAAAAATAAAATAATTAAAATATACCTAAGTAGGTACAATTTCCAGAGAAACAACGTAATTTTATAATATCTCTACAAAGTGTTTATAATTTGTGTTCATGATACAGAATAATTTTTCTCATCCAATATTAATTAACTACCTATAAAATAATAATAATTAATAGTATAATACTGAAATACTAGAAAAAAGTTGTGAGAAACATTTTATTAATTGATCAAAAATATACCATTAGACTAATGGGTATAGGTAGTTAATTTATTTCAATAAAAATTAATATTAAATGATTAATTTAATTGTATAATGTCTATTCTTTATAAAATCATTTAATATGTATATAATATTATATAGTTTAAGTTTATACTCTGAATTAATTTACTGCAGTGTGAATTTTAATTTGTCACATGGTTGTTGGTGTGAGCAGTTGTAACAATGTAATAATATGTGGTTTAGAGATACTTTATCATAGGCTAAATTACAAGCAATTGTGCTCACTGTAGGTAGGAACACAAAATAACCTATAAAAACCCCAAATAAGACATAATGTTTCAAAATGTATTTATTACATTAAATTGTTATTTCATTCATAGCTATGTGGCCTAGGTAACTTATATAATTAGTATCATTATCGAAATTGTATTTTCAATTAAATTTCGAGAGGTAGGTATTAAAAAATTAACATACATATTATTAGGTATATAGGTAGTTACATATTTATCGTTTATTTTAGAATCTAAATGTAACGATGAATGTATTGATATTACAATGATGTGGGTTTATTTTTTAAATTTAAAATTTAAATTTTTTTTTGTGTCTGTGTACACGATAAGTAGTCGAAATAATGTTTCGATATTCAATTTCAGTATCTTGTTCACTTGGAAAGTGAATATTGATGGTGCATTGAGGAGGTCAACATTTAAAATTCCCAGTAATTTTCAAAAGCGCCAAGAAAAACAAAAGAAAATTAAGGGAAAACTGGAATTTTTAAGCAAAATTGATTTTTCACAAAATCGATTTTGGGTTTTTGGTGTAAGTTTAAAACAGACGACCGTAGATACATGAAATTTTCACCGGTTGTTTATATTTGAATTTTCTATACACTTTAAAATTTTCCAAATATTTTGAACTGCTTAGGGACATTTTCAGTTTCCAATTGTATTAGTTTTTATTCATGAATGTCAATAAAACTTTATTTGTTGAGTAAAAATACTTGAAAATTTAATACAAGGCTCATATTATACTGTTACACTAACGTTTGAAAAATATTAAAAATCCTTAGTCAAGGTTTTTTGTTGTAAGCATTTAATGTTCAAATATTGACAAAATACTTAAAAATGACGAAAATTTGCAAATTATTTCGAGTT